ATGTTTATATTATGTGACTTTCATATTTTTCTAAAAATTTTTAATATCTTTAATACTTACTGATTTATTATATTACTGTAAAGAAACATTATTCATTTTTACTCCGAACTATTAAATTAAATTTAAAATTTTTCTTTTAATCTTCCTATAGTGGTAAACAAAGAGATAATTGAGTATAATAGCATAATTTCAGTATGCTATAGTGTTACTAGCATAAAATCCATTTGAAAGAAATATAAAGCCATCAGGATTTCCATCATAAGTATAATCAATTGATTGAGCATTTTCAACATAATGGCATATAAACATGAAGTTTTCAACTTTTCCCTGATCACTAATCTTCTAACTATGCTATCTTAAATATCTCTTAACCACTGGGTAACAGATCACATCTTAGATAGATGTTGCAATGTTGCTAGTCTATATTGGTTATTAAATGTCTGACCAATTTAAAACTTGAATAATATATCCCATTTCAAGCATCCTTCCTCCATTGCCTGCTAAGATTTATGTCTAGGGGATAAATATTAAAAAGTATTTCTTCTTCTTTCTACTATTTCATATATTCCATGAACAGTAGAATCCTAAAATGGCCTTATTTTTACCCTTGCACTTGTAAAGACTGGGAGCACCTAGGTTTGTGGTGTGGCAAAGCAGTGTCTCTTGAAATACGGATTGCTGAATCTTCTTAGTCCTGTTTGGAGCCTTGTTGTTGGCTGAGCGGCAGTAGGGAAAGCCCATTCAATATACAGATGCATTCATATTTATTACCTGTTTTTTATTCTATGAAGAATAGTTTTGTCTTGAGAAATTTACTCACATTACCTTTGTCATTTCTATAGTAACTCAATCAGAATTTAAGGGAGGAAAGTCTTTATTCCTTTCATATAATTAGTTTTATAGCAGGGAGAGTAAATTCAGCTGCATACTGACACTGGAAATGTTGGGAGACAAATCAGAATGCCTATGTACGCCATGATAGCTCTTTAAATCACTATTAAGCATGCAGTTCACTCACCAACACAAATTAGCTAAGTCTCTAACAATTTCATAGGATCTCAGAATGTATGAATCTTGAAGTTAATAGTATTAACAGTTCTGCCAAAATCATTTTTTTCTTTTATTTGTTGTGACTTATCAATGACCAGATATTTTGACTTGGGGAATAAACTTTCAAAACATGCCCCCTGTTGCTCCATCTCCCTTTATACCAAACCTTACCGATCCGACTATTTTAAAAATATTCTGTATTATCTACATATAATAGAAGGGAAAGTTTTAAACTATTTAAAGAATTTGTCTCATTTATATCTTGAATTTCAGATAATGCCTTCAAAAATAATATCAGAACAATAATCTATTTTTAATAACTCTAGAAATCAGAAAAAGAATATCCTATGGCTAACTTGATTCATTCATGTTGTTTTTGTCCATTCTTCTTCTGTCTAGACTGATAATTTGAGCCTTTATATCATAGCTTTAATTTATAGGTTAATTTTAAAATGTACTTTGAGCTAAGCCTCCATGAAACGAGACTTTAATAGACCTTTCGTGTGCTTTGGAATTGTTATAGATTATATATGTAATTATTGTCAATCTGTGCAGAGACCCCCTAAAATTTCTGATCTGTTCTAATGTTGACTTTTAAGATATTTTTATGAAATTAGTATTTAAATAAACTTTTAGACATTAGTAAGAATAAAATAATATTTGACAAAAGAAAACTAAACTTTAATGAAGAGTGTCTTTTCTCATTTATCTTGAAAATTGTGTATATGAGATAATTTACTTAATTTTTAATAAGTCACCACCATTAATAGATAACCCTATAAGTTCCTGTTAACATCTGCCAGGAGCATTTTAGGCCTTTGCATGTGCATATTTTTACAAAATCTTAAAATAACTGCAGGGGAAGTGTTTTAGTCATACAGTCTGAAATGGGATTTTGTTTAAATAGACTTTCATTGGTAAATCAGGATAAAAATTATTCAGCTTTAGAAACTAGTTCTGTAGATCTTCTTTGTAGAAAAAAAATCAACAGCATATAGCTTTGCCACCTTAACTGATGGCAACATTATCATCAATTTAATCTGTATTTGGTGGAGAATCATTATTAAACTAGATTGTCTAAGCCAATAGAATGTCTGACAAAAATGATGGAAGGCACTGACATAGGTAATCTTTAGTGATGGTTGGACTTTAAAACCATTGTATATTATTTGTATCAATCTGAAGATAAAATTAAATGCTTTATTAATTATTGCACAAACTAAGTCACTGTAAAAAATACTCTAAGATACAGTGGCTTAAACTTTATTATATGACAGTCTGGAAGTAGGTATTCCAAATCTAATACATCGGCTCCACATCAATAAGCAGTTTCCAGTTTGGAGTCTAAGGCTCTTCTGTTGCTTTCTCCTAGCCAAAGGGGAAGAATAAATACAGGGGAGACCAATTCTAAGGCTCTAATTGGAAAGACCCAGGAATGTCACAATTCACTTCTGTGCACATCCTGGTAGACACTATTTCAACACATGGCTACAGTGAACTATTAATATGTAAATGAAGCTGAAATCACTGTTATCTTTGTTATTGGGTGGGGCACCTGGTCCTTACAATTGCCAACAAAAACTGCTAAATTGCAGCCTGCTATCCCTTTTTGGATATTTCATATTAAATGTAAAATACTTGTCACTTCAGCAGCTATAATACAATCTTTGTATTTTAATTTTTAAAAGCAATTGTGTGTTACAGAGATGGGAAACAAAACACTGGGAGGGGGAGGGAGGGAGGGATGGGGAAATGTAGGTTAGAGGATACAAAGTAGCAGATATGTAGGATAACAATTCTGTATATCCAATGCACAGCATAAGTACTAGAAGTAATACAATTGAACTCTATATGGATTTCATGCTAAATGAGTAGATTTTAGTTATTTTTGCCACAAAATAAAAAAAAATGGGTAACTGTGAGATGATGGATATGTTAATTTGCTTCCTTGTAGTAACCTTTTTACTATCTATATGTATCCTGTAGCATCATGTTGTGTAACTAAATATAAACAATGACATTTATTTTAAATGAATTTATGTACCTTCATACAATTTGTAGAGCATTTTGGCATGTATTCCTATATGCTAACCTCTGTAACTTTCTGTGACATTGTACAATACTTATTACGGTAGAAAGGGTTATTCTAATCATGACGTTAGCATCACGAATGAAATATATTGATGAAATGTGAATGCATGTAATAATAGAATTAATATGCTATGTTTTATAACTTTTTGATATTAATATAGGTACAGGAGTTTCTTTCTAGGGATGTTTTACGACTGTTATATGTCATCACTTCTTACAAATTCTTCTCTCTTTATCTTTCACACATCCATGACACTGTTTAAATATCTCTCAGAATTTTGTTTCTTGGCTTAAAATTCTCTTTTAACATTCTAGTTGAGCACTGTCCAATAGAACTTTCTGTGATGACAGAAATGTTCTAGGACTCCCCTGTCCGGTATGGTAGCCACTAGCCATGTGGAGCTTTTCAGTACTTGTAATGTGATTAGTGTGAACTGAATTTTAAATTGTACTTAGTTTTAAATTTAAATAGCTACATGTGGCTAATGCTCACCATATCAGATGTAACAATTCTAGTCACTCTCTGCTCCATTCACCAAATTATTTCAGTCACATCTATTTTATTGCATCATTTTACTCCTGAAGCATCTTCAAGTGAATTTTACTAGTCAACGTTTATATATTTGCTGTTTTATTCTTTGAGTGAGAAATTTTGTACTTTCAATGTGACTTTAAACAGTCTAATAATAACAGCAGTATGTAATATTTATTGAGCACTTCATGTGTTAGGCACTGTTCTGAGCATTTTATACATAATAAATCATTTTATCATCACAAGAAACTTACATTATAATTATCACTGTTTCATAGGTGTATAAACTGACACAACTGCAGGTTAATTAACTTTTGCCTAAAATCAAATGCGTTGCTAGTGAGTGCCTGATTTAGGATGTAAACCCCAGGCAAACTGGCTTCAAATACCATTCTTTGCTATTCCATCATTCTGGAGAGTGAGTTTTTATCAGTGGTTCTCTTTATTAAAAATTCATCACAGTTGGGATCTTTCTAGGAGCTTTATTTGTATATGCATAATACAGGCAACTCAACTGCCTCTGGCGTGAGGGAAGAGAAAAGAGCAGTTTCTCTTCCTTATTTGTTTCATCACAATTCTCTCTGCAGAAACTGTTTGTAAAAAATATGATCCAAAATTTTCCCTAACTAATCTTTACTAATTACAATCTTATTTTATCAGAAAGATACCAAATAAATTAATTAGTAAATATAAGTGACAATAAGCAGATGCTATATGTTTGCTCCTATTAACTGCCAAAGATTATTCAGGTTTTTTTGTTTTTTTTTTGCCCTCATACACTAACAGTAAGAGTTTTAAAGAAGTCGAGATTGATTATTTTCAAAGGGTTATGATGTTAAGATTTAACTCAGGTCAATCAGCTGCAAGTTAAAATTACTTAGAAGCGTACTGTCCATAATTAAGTAATCTTACCTACTAATATTACAGAATAAGGATACCTTTAGATGACATGGAATCTGTCATTTTAAGCATGCCCCCAAGCCTTTTCCAGATTGCTCATAAAATTTCTCATTCTCTAGAGAAATGTGATCTTCGAAGAAATAAATGTCTCTGTCAAGTCACAAGTAATATGAGCACATGATGAAAAAATGGAATTTTTGAGTCTCATAAGGGATATTGCAATATTGTAAAATTGATTTTGTTCCTTGTTATTTAAGTTCTCATGGTCATTTTAGGATTTACTTTCTGGATCTAAAGGGTTATGATTCCTTTTAGGGAGGTGGGGGACAGAAGCCTTTGGGGAGCAGGAGAATATTTTTCATATGAAATTCTTTGTCATAAAATGCTAATGTTGGTGTTCTTGTCTTTATGTCTATGCATTCTTTAGCTATGAGGATAACAGACCCTTCATCAAGTAAGAATGACCTGAATGGCTGATAAATTCCATTTATCAGTGTGGTCCCATGAACCAGCTGTCAGATCAGTACTGAAAAATCATTAGAGCTTCTGTCATTCACATTGAGGCAGAAGAGCAAACTGTGCAGGAAAATAATCTGGCATACAACTTAACATGCAGAATAAATATGCTGCGGGTGTATTGCCACAAAAATTCTGCTTCACCTCTGTTAATTGGATATTACCTGAATTCAGTGCCACAGCAATAGCAATTTCCTGTGGTACAGACTTGTCTTGCTTTTAGTAGCTTTCTCCTTTCAATGTGATGTGTTCTTCTGTGCTGCATACGTCCGCATTTCTGTTGTTTGTTTGGGCATCATTCATCTAAAATTATTTTGTGATTTAATGGTATATCTTCAAAATGATCTTATGGGTATGAAACTACCCAATTGCAATTGCCATTAACTAATTGCTATATTAAATGTCCCATAAAGAAAAAAAATGCCTCCTTGAAAAGTTAAATTTAACATATGCAAAATTATCCCTTTCAAATTTGACACCTGTCACTTGATTAGTGATCTAATTATTATAGTGATCGAATTATTAATCTATTTAAGTTTCTGAAACAAAGCTACAAGTCTGTACTAATCTAATAAAATGTTAATATTTGGGCATTTTTCCCATGTACATTTTAAAATGACAAGTCCTGCAAGAATAAACTAAGATTGGCAACCTTTGGGTGACCTTGCTGTAGACTTTCAGTTTGTTCTTCTGGTGAAGAGTCCTTTGTTTTCATTTTCTCCAGTGCCATTTCACTTATTCTTCATGCTTTTGCTTATTTTTCTTTCTTTAAGAATCAGGGCTTATTGCAGTTTTCTATCACTTAACCCTTGGCCCACCATTTGTTTTCTAGTAGTTAATAGATGATTTTAGTATTTGATCGTATCATTTGTTTTTAAATCTAAATAGTAATTTTGCCTTCATTTCATGGCAATTCTTCCCATTTTTTCTTTTTCCAATGTTTGTAAGAAGCTGAGACCTTTCCTTAAAAGCTCCCATATTTCTGAATCCAGTTTTAGAATAAAATATTAACATCTAAAATGTTTTCTAATTCATAGAAGTAAATGTGCCACATGAAATAGCAAACCTCCTTTAGGGATTCTCTATTCAGGAATGTTGACGTTTTAAATTAAACATGTTCAATTTAGTGTACATTTAGATATGAAATACAGTGGCTAATTGTTATGGGAGAAAAATAGTAAATATTTATAATTAATTTTAATAAGATTTTAATAACTTGTTTGGGACCATGTCTTTGTTAGTATGTAGTTCTGTAAAAAACAAATTGAACTCAGTTTCAGATTGTGGTAAACATGTGATTTTTTTCTCCTTCACCTTGCAGAGTTTTAATCCCCGTAAATATATCTTCCATAAACAAAATAAGTGGAGGATAATAGTCTGCTGAAAAGAAATATTAGTTTACCCTGTTCAGGGAAGATGTGCTGGAAATTAATATAAGATGTGGGTTCATGAGTGTACAGAGATCTTGACTGGTGTGGTCCTGTTCTCCCATATACTTAGAAAGGAGTTAGGAAGGATTCCATTTTCAATTATTGGAATCCCATCTACTTGAAGAATTCATTTTAGATTGATAGTAAATATATAACATAACCATAAATATATGAACTTCTGTCACCCATTCATATGATTCCAAATGGCAACTTGGAGGAAACTAAGAGAATGGAGTGAGAATAAGAATTTGCTTTTCATTCTATACTACCCTGTCCATGCCACTCCATCACCATTCTCAGCTTCATCTTCTCCCTGCAGCTCAGACACTTCAAAGACATGAAGATGCCCTAAGCCTTTGAGATTTTTTTCAACAAAGCTGCCAAATGACTGATTTCTACAATCTAGTCCAGCATAGCCTGGAAGACAGCAATCCAAAGGCTAAAAGAAAGTAGAACTAGAGTGATTCCCATACAGTGGAACTAGTTTTTCTATCCACTCTCTCTCACTCTTACTCTATGTAACTATAGAATCAGACAGGTAGTGTCTTTAAAATTCATACATGTACTTCAAATACGTGTATTTTCTTCTGAGTTATTTTTTTGGTCAGTAAACACTAAAATTTTATGAAAAAAGAAAAATTTGGTAAAATGGGCCTAAAGTGTATCAGATAAAGCATTGATGGAGGGAGATCAATCAAACAAATGGTATACTAATGAGACTAGTGGACATAGATTTATAGACTTTTCCCCCCTGCCATTCAATATAATCACACCTCATGCCATGTGCATATGTGCTGCTAATACGTGAATAATTTATGGTACAGCTCTGCTTGTGCTTAAATGAATTTGTGTTCATAACATTTCCATTCATGTCTGTCTCCTCAAGCTTGAAAACTTGTAGTTTCCATTAAAATCTTAAAGTACTTACACCAATTGTCTCACCTTTCCTGTCAATAAAACTTACCATAACATTTTTTTTTTAGTGTCAGTATTGTTGATATGATATGGTTGTGAACTAAAAACCAATTATTTGATAACTTTTCATTTTGTCTTCTCTCTACAGATCATGGGTTATAGGTGCAATAGCTCTTCTCTGCCTGTTAGGACTGACCTGGGCCTTCGGACTCATGTATATTAATGAAAGCACAGTCATCATGGCGTATCTCTTCACCATTTTCAATTCTCTACAGGGAATGTTTATATTCATTTTCCATTGTGTCCTACAGAAGAAGGTAAGCTAGAATTCTCTTTTTGAAAACAAATGGCTTTAATCTCATGATACAAAAGCAGCTATGACATATTCTAATAGATCAACTCTTTTCTAAAAATGTCATGGAGGCATGATGATATCATGGTATAGAAAATATGTATGTGTATATATTTTTTTCTTTAAAAACTAGTTTACATTAGAAAATATAAATACCTAGATATTTTATGGTAAAATAACATACACATATTTTTTGGATGAATGATGGAATAACTTAGTAATGATCTATATACTTCTTTTTTTTAAAAGCATCTCATAAAATCTGAGTGGAATGATAAGAATGCAATATTTAGTTTTTTAATACTGACCTATTTTTGAAATATTTTACAAGGACATAAAATGTATATTTTCAAAGTTAATTTTAGCAACTAAACATTGTCTTACATTTTTTGAAAATTCCAAGATTGATTTTCTAATCTTATTTTAACCTGGTTAAAAATGTGGTCTCTATAGCTCTGATCACATAAACCCCTGAGCCATATTATCTGGGTTTGAATCTCAGTTCCTCCACTTAAAAACTTGAGTGACTTTTGGCAAGCTAATTAACCTCCTTATGTCCCAGTTTACTCATGTGTGACATGGAGGTGATAAAAATAATTATGAAATATTGAAAGAAGTGGCTCTGAAAATGAAGTGGGAAAATGTAAAAAAAAGAAAATTCTGAGAAACAATAAAATCTATAATTTTTCCTTGGAAAACAAAAAAAGAGTAAAGATGTCTCTCTCTAGGATTTTTGGTTTTAGAGACTGGTGAGACCAAAAACAGAAGTTGAAAGAGTATACATTTGTCAAGATAGACAAAAATAAAACAAAATTTCATCCTGTTTCAATTTAGGTAGTGGTAGGTACCACTACCTAATGTGTTGACCACTAGAATGTGTTGACATGATCACAAATACAGGCTAGAGGAGTACCAATGAGTCAGGCTTCTAAATGTATATTATAGGAAAGAAAAGAGATTATATTAGAATGTACATAGATTCTAGTCTCTTGGATTAGAATTCACCTTAGAAAACAGATTATTTTAGAATGGATGAGCCTTCCCAAATAATTAATATATACACCCCCAAAATTACAGTAGCCTAAGTCAATATATGTGTATATTTTACTCATTGCCCAATTGATGGGGGTGCCCCATGGAGGGACACTGGCTGATGAAGTCTCAACCAACCTCAGTACATGATCTCATAGCTGTCTTGGGTGTTGGCATCCAGCAGGCAGTCTGGGAAAGAGAGACGGGATCCTTTGTAAACATCCTGAAAGTGGCTCACACCCCTTCTACTTATTTTCCATGAGATAGAACTCTATGGATGGCACCACCTAAACTGCAAGGGAGCCTGGGAAAGACAGTCAAACTTCTATTGCCCACAAAGAGGAAGAATTGCATGTGGTGAACGGCTAGCAGTCTGTCACACCTGAGGAGTTTAAAAAGTTGGAGACATGCAAATAGTGAATAACAATAGTGATGGAAAGAAGTAGGTGTCAGAAAAGAAGAATGAGAATCAAAGTGATATGCTAGATTAAAGATAGGAGAAAAGGTTAAGAAGGAGACAATGGTTAGTGTTGCAATAGTCTTCAGAGAAGTCAGAGAAACTAGGTACTTGGGAAAGAAGTAGATTTGGATAGAAGAAAACCATAACTGATTCTCAAGAGAAATATACACAAAAAAAAATATGAGCAAAATCGAAAGATTAGGAGAAAAGGTAGCATTTGTTCATGAAAATAAGGGAATATATTAGGCGATTATAATCAATCATAACATATTAAAGTATAGTGGATCCGATTTATCTGACACCTTTATTTTATACATTAGCTGGAAATTTGGATTATCATAATTTTTAAATTTTCTTATTTTCTTGTGTTTTAACCAATTTCCTGAGAAGTAATTTTTAAATTTTAAAATTAATATCAAAATTTTCTACAAAGCAGAAAAGAATTTTTTGCACTTTATACATAAATTATTTAAGTAGTATTTTTTACTAGGGAATAGCTATTACAGTTTTCCCAATTATTATTTATATTTTTCTTGTTTTAACAGAAGCATATCAGTGGAATAACTAGGAATGGCATTTGATATCCATGTAAAATTTTATACCCCAAGACCCAAAAACAATTCTAGAGTTCTTAGTATATTTAGCATATTTAAAATAAGTTAAATTTTAAAATAAAGCTTAATTTGTGATTCATTACAACAGAGTTCCAGAAACTACGGCTTGTGAGCCAAACTCATCTAGCTGCCATTTATTTTCAAAACCAGTAAGCCAAGAATGGTTATTACACTTTCAAATGTTTACATTTAAATTCTAAATTAAGTACGTACACAATACCCTTGCTTTTGCTTCTTTACTCACAAACCTAAAATATTTACTTATCTTACCCTGTATGAAAAAATTTTCCAGGCCCTGAATTAGAAGCTCACTTTTATAATTTACAATACAACACAATATAATTTACAAAATCTGTGATTTGAATTTTAAAATTTTGGTGGCATTTTTACTTGGTGCCAAGAACATGACCCAACATCAGATAATACAGAAGATGGCTTTGTTTTTTTCATACCAAAAAAAAAAAAAAAATCAATACTTGTCTTTGAAATTTCAGAAATAGTCTTAGGAGATTTTTTTAAGCCATCTGATTGAATTTAATATATGCGATTGCTAATGTAGTTTCTCATATGTTTTGATTAGAGAAATAGAAAATATTTCATTTTTGAGATTTTTTTGTTTTATTGGGTTATTTGTTGATTGATTCAATTTATTAACAAAAAAAATCAAACTTTTTGAGCTGTCAGTCCTTTTTTGAGTGTGGATTACGTAATTATGTCATGAATATTTCCACCAGTGACATTGAAGTGGTAACTTTTGCTTTGTTTTACATTCAAATATTTGATATACTTTCAAGCTTCCATGATAATTTTTTTCTGATCTGAGAGTACAAAAGAAATCTTTCATTAGTAAGATATATTCTCTTTTCTGTCTTCTATATTCTAGAACAACATCACACCGAAAAAAGATACCATCTGATAGCAATAATTAAGATGGAGTACTCTGTGAAATAGATTATAATATGTAAATGATTGAACAGTCAAATAACTGTTTTATTGTAATCTAAAGAAAAATGTTTCATAGACATGGTCTGTGTTTTTTTCTTTCTTTTTTTTTAAGACATAGGCTTACCATTTAATGTAAATTAGTTCAAAATATTTAATCTTCGTGGGAAAATACAAGCAGTCCATGATAAAATCCTATGATTTATATAATATTGCTGCCTTTGTAACAGAATGCAGAGGGATTCACTTTCTCTTTTCCCTCTCTCTGTCTTTGTAACAAAATATTTGTTTAGGTTTAAATCAGTTCATTAAAAAATATTCTCTCATCTAGAAAGAAAAATGACTCTTGCTGAGTACATTATAAAAAACGAAGTTTTTTATAGTAGGACATGGGCCAACAAGGTTATGATCAAAGTCTAGGATCTTGGAGGTGATTCATAAATTCAGTACAAATTACTAAACTATTAGCAATAGTGCTGACCTGTAGGTAGAGATTGTGTTAAACCTTCTCAAGTTCTGATTGAATAATTTGCCCTATTCTTTCCAGATACAAAAAGCAAGATAATCTAACAGATTACTTTATTAATAACAATAATAACATAAAATGTTATTATATATACAAGGTCATATATTAATGTTAGGAATGTGGCATCTTACAGCTTTCTGATCATAGAGCACCCATGGACCTTTTCACATAAGACACATCACTTAACCTTTCAGTCCTTGAGTTTATTTTCATTGTTGAACTATTTCAGTATCTTATATGTAAAACAAAGGCTATAATTATTCCCCAGAGTCATTTTGAGGGAAGTACCTGGCATAATTTTGGTAAATAGTGTTTAGAAGTTTAGAAGTTTAGAAATTAGAAGTTTCTTCATTCCACCTTCTCAACACACACATCTTAGACACACACAACAAATGAATACAGACTTACTTCTTTTTTAAAGTAAACAAAATATGGTTTGGCTTACAGATACTAAAAAAAAAATAATTATCTCTATTTCTAATTACTGATAAATGTAGCATAGAAGAGACTGGTTACAAAACAAATCAATAGAATTTAAATTACATTAAAATATGTAATTTTGGCATTCCAGAGCAGAGAAAGTCCTTAAAGGCTAGCACATCAGAACTCTCTGATTTCCTTAGCCTATTCTTTACAGCTAGAATTCCTTTTTCCTCTCTTGTCCCCTATAGTGACTTTCTTCCCTAAAAAGCCTTCCTTGGTGCCCTCTACCAACATTGAGCAGATACTCCTCTATGCTTGAGTCACCCGTCCACATCCCTATCACTGTTTTTATCACATAATAAGCATTGATAAATGTGAGTTCTTCGAGGAAATCAGAATATATTCTATCTTTGATTCTGCTATATCTTTGACGGGATGAAGTTTAGTATAATAAGGTATAGCGTTTCCATTTTAAGTACTAATTTTAGCGTATCATTTATACTCTATAATAATCTAATACTCTATAATACTCTGTCATTTATACTCTATACTCTAACAAAAGCGTATATTTAAAACGTTTCATATAAAGTTATATTGGAATATTACATTGTCATAAATTGAGGAAATTATGGACTCATCCAAAATCGAATATATAAAGAGCTAAAAATAATGTACATACTGTTAGTGAATCATGTAAATTTGAGAATGTATAACCAATATAATGAAGTGTCCCTTTGTTGTTATTGATAGTAGAGGTATGATTTAAGGCAGTTAATTTTTCTATGCCTTATTCGATTAAAAAAACAGTAATGAAAATTTTAAATATAGTAAAAATGTTTCCCCAAGTGGATATATTTTTCTGATTGAAAACATCAACTAAAAAAAGTATGCCTCTTTTTTCCCTGTAATTTTATACTACAGCTAGGATTAAGAATTTAATCAGCAATGCTATAAAGAAATGCAGTTATAAACTATTTTGAGGTAATAAATTTAAAATATTTTGATAAAGTTGGAAATTTAACCTTTTTTAAAAGAAAGAAACTTCAAAGCAATATAGATTTAAAAGAAATGCTTAACCCAAAATGTTACCTTTTTTTGCTTAAATATTCACTGTCTATTTCTGATCTCTCTCCTCCACCTTCTCCCACTTCCTGCAGCCCACTCTCCTTAATTTCCTCACTAGTCTTCTGCCTAAGAAACAATAGCTACAATACTCTTGCACCAATAGGCTACTTTATATCAAATTAATGAAGCTAAAAATAGTGTCTTAAAGGGCTTAAGTGTATGTTCTTTGAACTAAGAGCTAGTACCACTATGATGTGGTTGGAAGGGGGTGTGTGTGTGTGTGTGTGTGTGTGTGTGTGTGTGTGTGTGTGTGTGTGTGTGTTTTAAAAGTCTCCAGTTATGCAGAATTTCAAGCTTGACAGTATGAATGTAATTATTTTATGTGTAAAATATATGCTGAACAGACTTTCTTATATCTGTAGGGCAAGGAATTAATTATATTATCTAAACATAAAACTCACATTTTATACCTTAGTTCTTAGCTGAAATGAATTACTTGCTAACGCAAGTTAATATCTAATTGACTAGGTACGAAAAGAGTACGGGAAATGCCTGCGAACACATTGCTGTAGTGGCAAAAGTACAGAGAGTTCCATTGGTTCAGGGAAAACATCTGGTTCCCGAACTCCTGGACGGTACTCCACAGGCTCACAGGTAAACAATATTTGTTCATTGAAATTAAGTTATCTCTTACCTATATCCTGTTATGGCTTGCTGTCCTTTCTGATCAGTCCAGTTTTCTATGCCAGATGTTTAACATATCACGTTTGTTGTTGCTGTTTAGTATGTCTCACATGAGAATAATTCTGATAAAAATTAAAGAAACCAAAACTGTAATAAAATTATGAAATTTAGGGTCTAACTTTGCATAATAGTTAATGACTTCCAATTGTTTCTAGTTGAATGAGTATAGCTGGCAAAGAAAGGAGTTTTCTACTTTACCCAAAATTCAAAGAAAGTAATATTTTATATTGTAGGGAACGTGGGCCCTTGGCCCTCAAAGGTTTGCTCAAAAATCACTGAAATGGGGCAGATTGGTTAATAGGAGAAAAGACATATAAATTTATTTAACATGTATACATGGGAGCCTTCAGAATGAAGATGCAAGGGAAATTGTCCATTTTTATGCCTAGATTCAATGGAATATGGACATGTAGAAATGTGATTAGACAAAAAGGGTATGATCCATGTTAACAGGCTGAGCGGGGAAACCCAGCAAGACCTGTCTGTCTGTCTAGATTCTTCTTGGCCTTTCTGGGTTTGCATTCCTTCTCTCTGTATGTAGAGAAGGGCCTCCCTGGTAGTAATCCTTAGACCAGTCTCTAAGGATTACTCCCATCCATCCAGACGAGATATAGCTGCATAGTCCCTCACCAGAGAAATTTTAAACTTTTAGGTAAACTTTGTGACATTTTTCCAAGGCCACCATGTCAACCCAAAGGTCATTACAGAGAAATGTTAGCAACTCCAGGATGCTAAAAGGAGCCAGTCACATAACAGGCATAGGATTGTGAGAGTCATGAGTGAATTTGGGTTCAGACTAGCAGACTAATATTTTTTAAGACTGCGTGATTCTGTAGGAAAAAGAGTCATGTTTTCAGTGTTAATTGAAGTTTTCTGTGGGAGGCTTGAGTTTAAACTGATAAAGTTATAAATCAAGAATTATTTTTTTCCTAACCTATAAATCAAATTATTTTTTCATAAATTTGGTTGTTTTATGTAAAATAGAAGTGATTGCTTCACATGTTCTTTGATGGATGTTCAATTGGCTTGTAAGCATAATAGATAAAACTTCCCAAAAAAATTCCATTTATGTGCTTAGAAAATTAAATTTCCTTATAACTTTCGAATACTATTTATAAATTTAATATATCTGATTCTCTCAAACACATGAACTGTCAGACTGGACAGTCATACACATCTAACTAGCACTCAAACAGCTCATACAAATCAAAGAGTAAACGATGTTTTCATAAACACTTTCCTCAAAGTCAATGAAGTTTTCTTTTATCTTACAAAGAAAAACATGTATTTAATATCAATCTAATATTTCCAATTAAAATTTGAAAAATTAACATATAACTATCAAATATATCAGACTACAATACTTGGACAATGACATTTATGAAACTTATTTTTAAATATAAAACACAATTATGAATCTGAATTTGATTTATTATTTCTATACCGTAATGAGGTTGTAGAATTGCAAGTCAGGGGAACACATATACCAACTCAGATGGGCAGAGATGTCCGAGTTTAGAATGACTAAATTTGCCAGTCAGAGATCTGAATTCTCACGTAAGAGTGGGGGCAAACCAGTATGATACTTACAGCATGAGCTTTTTCTTATAATCATGCCTATAATTTTAAACTGGTATTCCTTTGCCCCCCACCCTGTCTTTTGTAATAATAACCTTTCTCACAACTTTGAAATTGCTAAGATTCTTCACATCATCCAGCCTGATTAAATCCTGCATGCATTTCATGTTACTGAGCTCATCAGCCATCTTCTTATAGTCATTTTATTAACATAGACCATTAATAAAATAATATTTGGTAGTTTCATTTATTAAGTTACAACATAGTTATGCAATGCTTAGCAGTACTTGTACGAGATAAGACAGTGCAGCTTAATAGGATAATGATAAACTTGATGGGTGGGTGTACTTTGGTTTGAGTAATAGCCTTGCCACATACCAGCTCTAACACAGAACAAGTTCTTAAGCTCATTGACCCTCAGTTTTTTCACCTGTAAAATGGTGAGAATCATACTGATTTCTTAGGTTGCTAGAAAGATTGACTTACTGTATACAAAACAGACTAAATTGTGGGTGTTCAGTAAATGGTAGCTGCTACCATTTATTAATGTCATTGCAGAATATGATTTTATATATGTAGTTTAAAGCTGTATTATATTTTTTCTCACTCTTATAGTTTGTGACATCACGATTCTACTCTTGGTTATAAAAACTTATCTTGTTTTCTTATACTTAATATAATACTAATTCTGATTAACTATGACAATCCAATCTTACATAAAGTGATAGTTACTTAAATCCAGTCTGTTTAGTTAAAACAAGTAAATGCATTTCATGTTAATTGTGCTCTCACATAAGCAAATGCTAAAATATTCACTGATATGAAGGCAAAATTTAGACAGTATAGATGCATTTTTTTTTATCAGAAACCTTTTAAAATAATCTTTATATAATACCAGCAATCCTCCATGCTCTGGGGATAAAATGGTTAAAAGACAGACAACCTTTCCTATAATCTTGAACTTTAATTCTAGTATTAGGAGACAGAAAATTTATTAATAAACTAACAATCCCAAAATATCAGATTGTGAAAGTTGGCAGAGAACCAAATATGTGGTGGTATAAAGTAGCTAGGTAGCTACTTGGGCTAAGTGCTAGAGAAAGGCTATCTTAAACATAGTGTAGAACCTGGAACATAGAAAGAATTAATTGATTAATATATACACACACATATATTAATATATACAGATACATATATATGCTATTTACTATGCCAGGTATGTGACACATCAATGGACAAAAAAGACAAAAATTTTGTTCACATAGAACCTCAAGTCTAATGTAGACATTAGACATAAAATATTAGACATTAAATGGATACACATTAAATATACATATAAGAATTGAGTATATTATATAATACATGGTGTTGTAGAAGACATTAATGACTTGGGCGGGGAGGTAGGGTAAAGGAGACTGAAATTGTGACTGGATTGGGTGGGTAGAATACATTTCTAGATAGGGCAGTCTAGTTAGGCATGTTTAATGAGAAAATATTTGAGCAAAAAGTTAAAAAGATGAAGGGATTATGCATATCTGTATCTGGAGGAAGAGCACTTCAGGCAGAGAAAATAACCAGTGCCAAGCCCTAAGGCAGAAAGATGCCTGGCATTTAAGGAACAGCAAGGGAACAGGTGTGTCCGTAATAGATAGGTAGGGGAGACTATTTGGAGATGAGATTATGGGGGCAGCTCATATAAATGTCACCTAACAACAGTAGCTTCATCAATTCTCAGTTAAGATGCTCCTTCTTCAGTGCATTATTCTTAAACTCCCTAGACAAGGACATATCCCCTAATATGTACAACTTTAAAAATCTTTTTGATTTTTTGTAGTATAAAAAACATTCAAAGTACACTAAAAATGAGTATATGGCACAATGAATTATTACCACTCCCCAGGTCAAATATTAGAATATTGGGAGTACTACAGAAACTCTTTGAACCCTTCCTTTTCAATCAGTAACCTCCACATATAACCATAAATTTAACTTTTAACAGTACATACATTTTGTCTTGCATGGGTTTGATACTATTCACATGAAATCATCCAGCACATATTGTTTTGTTTTCCTTCTTTCCTCTGTCATCTATGTTACTGCAGGAGATTGTTTCTTTTTATTTTCATTGCTGTATAGTATTCTATAATTTATTCATCCATTCTACCATTCATCGTTATTTGAGTTGTTCATAGTTTTCATCTATAACATTTAATCTTTCAATGAAGATTTGTGAGCATGTTGTGAGCATTTTGTTTTGCACAAAAATAAGTGCAGATTTTACTTAATCTGTCACATGACTAGTCTAGCGGTTGCATGAAAACTAAGATGTTTTGTGTTTACATTTCCCCTTGGTATCTCCTAGTTAGTATTTGGAAAGCAGTAGAGGGTAATTAATATTTGTAATCAAGTAATTAATTAACTAATAAAACAAATGTGAGAGATTTGTTCTCTTCATTGTCATTCTGTTTATTAGTTTTCTGTGTGTGTTTGTGTGTGTGTTTGCCAACCTAGGGAAAATGTGATATCTAACAATAGTTCTGAAGAATAAACATGTTGCAAGATTCAAAAAACCAGTCATCTAATATTCCAAGATTAGCTACTCCTATTATTCAAGGAGTCCTAATATATTTGCAACATAACCCATTTGTGAGCCTAGTTTCACGATTAGTAGTAGCAATATTGGTTATAATTATTTTATCCTTAGAAAAGCTTCTGAAAATACTGTTTCTTCCTCACAAGATTGTTAATACATTTTTGATCTCTAACTCAATAAAATGGCAAAATAGAATAAAATAGAAAAAAAAACTCCCCCAAATGGAAAAATATTGCAATGTTTTCTTGAATTATCTGACTCTTAGAAATATGGATGTAAGAATATCAATAATAATGTAAGAATTTTCAGTTATCTATAAAACTTCCTACTGAAGCAATGAATAGGGGTGAAACCTCTATCTTTATCTCCTTCAAAAGAAGGAAAAGTCAGGATAGTATGTAATCTCTAAAATTATATTGATCTCTTCATAAAAGTGGTGGAAAATGTAAATTCAGTAGCATTTTAATAACATTCTATGTTCTTTCTTAATAAATTCTCTCTTGCAAGATTCTGATTTCTTAAACTAAATCTTAATAAAACTGGCAACTTAATGCCTATGGAAACATTTCTATTGCAATAAAAGTTACAGTGAAAATAATTTGTTTTACCTTGGAAACTAAAATTTTCTGATTCTAACTATCTAGAGTACACTTCTATATATTAATATCTTCAACATATTTAAACTGGTATAGTGCTTTACATTTATTCCTTTTTGATAGTTATAATTATCTTTGGTATAGGCATTTAGGAATACTCTTAATGAGACCCATATATTACCATGAGTGTTATTTCTAATGCTCTCATGCTTTCTGTGCTTCAAGCATGTAGAAGTTGCTTATTTGCCAGATGCTAGAAACACAGGTCTCATATACCTATGACAGAAAGAAAAAGAATGATTTGTGTGAAAATTCTCTGCTTCGTGAGTTCATTTCCTTTCTTCCTTTTCACCTACCTAGAGCCGAATCCGTAGAATGTGGAATGACACGGTCCGAAAGCAGTCAGAGTCTTCCTTTATTACTGGGGATATAAACAGTTCAGCGTCACTCAACAGAGGTAATTAGAAATGATTTTTCATATTTATTACTTTTCTGATTACTTTAAGAATTTCTTAAATGCATTGCTTTATTTTCGACTTCTGGGTCTGATAGGAATATTGCAAGGCTATAAAACCTGTTTGAGTATAGCAGTATCTTCCATAATTCATAAGCCACTTTTTTTAAAATCCTGAATTTTGGGGAAATCCTTTCTGAAAGGAAGTTAGAAAACGAGAAACTTCTTTTCCTAGTCATCTGCTACTGCTATAAACTGGTGAGCTGTCAGGGCTCATTGGAAGCAGCGAAAATGGGCAATTATGTGGCTATATAGTCTGCTAAGCATCATAGAGTTCCACATTGTCTCAGGCATAAAGCAATTTCATAGTCTTTATGAAAGGAAAAATATACTGTCTAATACATACTTAACGCAACCTGTGTACTTGGGGGAAAATCTTATCTAATCTTAATATCTAAAAGACTTATCTGGATAATATTCAATATTTAAAGATCTAGGAGGAAAAAAATACTTTTCTGTATATCATAATTTTCTTGTGTGTATGTGCTTATTGTTAAAATACTCCCTGGACATCATTTAGATTTTTGAAATGAAGTTCCCTAAATCTATTGTTTTGTTTGTTGATTTTTTTTCTTATTCTTTGCGTGTGTGCTAGCACTCTCTCTCTGTCCCTGTGGGTGTGGGGTGTGTATGTGGGTATGATTAGAATTAATTTGAAGTAAAAATGACTAGATTTATGGAGAGCAAGAGGATGCTACACTCAGCAATGGGAACCATTTGCAATATAGTTTCATGTGGGAAGGTGGCATTTATATGAACTTAAGTTAAGATCAACATTATTTTTTACCCCCAAACTGGAATTACTAGTTTGTTTTCAACCTGTTTCTGTGAGCTTTTTGTTACATTTAATGCTAATTAAGAACAAATGATGTAATAATTATGGCTTATGATTAACAAAGACTCAGATGCTGGTGCCATTAATTATTTTTACTCAAGTAAGTTGCATCTAATTTATATAAAGGAAGTTAGGAAAGGCAGTGTCCAAATTGGATTTGATACAGGGATCTATGTTTTAATATCTTAATTGAATTTCATATGTTATTTGGGCAATGATATAGTAACAATAATGCAGTGAGGATTTTAAATTATCTATATCACATTTGCTTGCTTAGTAAGGACAATGAGTAGGAATATTCCTCCAAATATAAAGAAAATATATTAAAATAAAACAACTACCTTCTTGTATTTTGTTTCATTATTAGTTTTTTTATTTGCTAGAATACATTTCTGTAGACAAACTCTCTCAAGTATTCTTCTCTTGTTCAATTTAGTTTTAATCCTTAGTTTGTGAACATTTATTTAAATATAAGTACTATAATGTTTTGACATTCATTTTGCAATCATAAAGAAGAAATTACTTAGAATGCTTGCAAGGCCTAGGAATTAATTTGCTTCCATAGTGACTAATTTTTCTTTATTCTTTAATAATCTCACACATAGAGAATTTACTGTGCATTCCTAGAAAGGAAGCTATCCTTATCAATAGGATTTATTTTTAGACATATCTCACATCTAATGGTCACAGTAGCCATAGAATAATTGTTTCAACAAAGATGAGGAAATATGATTTTAATGACGTACTGTTTATTTGCCTATTGTAAGGATGGGTAAAATTATTATTTTGTCTACCATTGCTACCTAAATTTGCATAAAAATAGCAAGCAACATAACTTGGTAAAAACTGCTTTAAATGGATTATTTTTATGACTTTACAGTCTATAACATTATATAATACTGCTATTTAGTTTCTTCTTAATTCCTTCTCAGATTTCATCAACTTGGAATATAGTCGATATGTGGATGGCTGGGTCTAGTTGAATAAATTTTAAATAAAATAATATTTTATAATATATTAACTGGTCATATATTTAAGTCTGTTTATTAAAATATCTAGTTTTAAAAGATATATCTAAAGCTATTACAGGAAGGCCATAAACTTTTTTGTGACATGGAATAAATTACTTTAATGCTGACTTTGAGTAGTGGGTAAAAGGATAAATTGAATCGATAATTTAAAGTGTGCCCAGGTAGTGATCTTTTCCATTGAAACACATACTCTTCCTTTCACTTAATGACTTTAATGATGCTAGAAATCATAGTGATCTTCTTTATTTCCTATATTAATTAACTACACCCCCCATCACAAAATCTTAGTTTTATTCTCATCTCATTATTTTTTATCTTAGATGAGTGGAGTACTTAAAATTTTATTTCTTCATATTATATCTCTGAAGATAGTCTTTAACCTCCTTCTTTAATCTTGTCTTATTTCCCAGGGTCCTATCTTCCCTGCATTCAGGCGTGTGTATCATATTTAGGTAGGTGACATCCAAGATTCATCTTTTCAGATCAACACCTTGGTCACTCCAGCGGCATAATTTTTTACTTCTTTTTTTCAAAAGATTATATTCTCTATTATTAAAATAAAAATTATAGATATTGCATCTTTACATCTTCATATATTCTATCTTCCTATTCATTCTTAGTTTCTTACAGCTAGCATTTTTTTAAATTCAAACTCCATTTTCCTTTCTTTCTAAGTTAGATTCATTAAATCTCCTATTTTTGTCTTTGAAATACTTCTGGCCCTTTAAAACTACAAGTCGTTATCTAAAAATCACTTCTATTTTTTTTTTACGTTAGGTTTGCTTTTCTATTCATTCCACTGCCCAATTCATCAAAAGGATGTTATTTTAAAATTTTGTATGTCTTATCATCTATTCTTAAAAATGAATCAATCATTATCATCTTTTGGATCCATTAAGAATGAAGAATCCACCATGCAATGCAGAACTACTTCTCAATGGTTTTTATTTTTTGAAACCATCTCTAATATTCTGTTCTTGAACCAACTTTTTGCATCATATGTATCAGATAACCTTGCTACATTTCCCAGTGTGATAAACTCGATTACTATTGGGATTTTACTCCTTGGAATCATGTGAAACCTTGGAAGATTTATTGATTTTTTTTTAATGAGTATAATAACTCTTATTTATTCTCTTTGGAAGTTTATTGTTTGGTCACTTCATCTCTTTAAAACCTTCCATTAAATCTGTACTTTAAATATCTATATTTATGAAGATGTTTCCCCAAATGTTTTCAATACATTTTCAAATATTTTTCTAAATGTCACATACTCAGGCAAATCCAGAATTCCTTGGGCCAATACTCCAGCGCTACTACCAAGTTAACTTAACCAATGCCACTACATACGCCAGTAGAAAGAGCTTTAGAAGAGCTGTGAAGTGATGGTTGATTACAGAAAGTTTCTACAAAGGTTCACTCTGAGACAAACCCAAGTTTTCACAAACTCATGAGACCACAAGAGGGTTTATTCATGGTTCAAGTAAATATTTATTATTTTGCTCATATTGTGAAGGTTTAGTCAGTGCTTAATTGCCAAGCTCCTCCCAGAGCTATTGGAAATCTAATCAAAATCCCTAGTAGCTCCAACTCCCTGGTAGTGGTGCAAATGATTTATAGCTAAAGTTGTCTTTCCAGCCCATGTCTCCTATCCATGATCTCTGCTGGCCAAACCTCATCTCCAACAATTTAGATTAATAACACCTCTAGAACTTGTATTTGATAAAAAAATGAAATGTTAGCTTAGAAATTTCCTCTGGCAGTTTAATTAATTGTTAAACATTTCTACTCTTTTTGTATCTCTAAATATAAATTAGAATATTTTCTGAAATTAGGTTTTATTAGGCTTTATCTCATCATAAATATTATAATTACCTTTCCCATTTTCTTTTTATTTAATTAGTTAGATTGAGGTCAGCAATTTCCATTTAAAAAATCAAGTTTTGCTAGGTAGCTCCTACCAATATGGAATCTTTGTTCAAATTACAAAAAGGTGCCCCAATCTCACTCCAGCTATGGATTTATTGCAAAAATATGCCCTCTGAGGGGTAGAATTTTAAAAAGGCATTATTTTTCCTTCTGGAACAATGGCTTGGCTTGCATCCTGGGTTTTTATTTCCCCCTAAACTCCTATCCTTGGTCTTGTCAACCTCCCACACAAGTTAATGTGATTTAGGTTTTTATGCATGGAGATCTAACCAGTAAGGCTTTACTGATTTAAGCCAAATTTAGTTGTTATGTGTAGGAGGATTGAGCTGTAGATGGGTAGCCCTTATTTATTAATGCTGACGGATTCTCTTTTCAGGGTTCAGATCTGAATTAATCTGCACAAGCATTCTCAGTAAATTTATGTCTTCAGTAAAATTATGATTGCCTATGACAATGCATTTATTTTCATAGATTTTTAAGGATAAATTCTGGCTCTCAGCTAGTGGCACAACAACCTACTGAAAGGTGACCTCACCTGTTAGGAGCTTTTTTGATACCAAGGGGAAAGATGCTGCCATCAAGTAGGCATTTATATGTAGTTGATTTACTCATTGTAGTTTTAAGAAGGGACACTGATTAAAAGTCACTTTTAATCCAGTGGCTTTTGGCAAACTTCTTAACTTCTCAGGGTCTATGCAATAGGGAAATAAATAGCACCCACTTCAGAAGGTCCTTGAGAGGTGTAAGTAAGTTAATATATGTGAATTGCTTGCAACAGTGCCTAGAACATAATAAGAAATATTATAATAATTATTATTATTTTATTCAGAAGTTCACTTGTATTTTCTAATAAATGAAGACTTGTCCTTGGCAGTGCTTTCAAGTAATCAGATATTAAAATTCATCATTCACTACTGAAGGTTATTTTTTTTCTTTTTATTTTCCAGCAATAGGTGGGAGAAATGAGGTGGTTACCTGAATGTCAAGTAAAAGAAACAATAATTTAGCCAAGATAGTGCTACCCTTGAGGCTAACAAAAAGAATAAATGAATAAAGCTAAATTGTTGCTTCTAAATTAGAAATTGAATGCAGATTACATCTGCCTGGTTGTACTTTCTACTTTTGATTTGTAACCATGTCTTAGCATCAAAGAAGTAAAGGTGGTACATTTTTTTGTCCCTACCTTAGATGATGGTATAAGCAAACACTGCCTCCTCTTTTCTTCTGAGCCCTATCCTACCCTTCCAAAGCTTAGAGAACACTGGTTCAATTCAGACAGCTTTGCTAAAGAACCAGTTATGTTCTTTAGCAGGGCTGTGACTCAGACTTGTTTTTAACTCATGTCTTCTCAGAGCCTGTATTGTCTTTCTTGGGAGGTTGGTCACTGAGGCAGAAGAAACTTTACAATAAATCACCTGCCATCTCATTAATATTCAGGCTTCTACACATATTTTGCTTTTATATTTTTAAAGAAAAATGCAAATGAAAAAATGTAAGTGGTGTTTTACTGTGATTAATGATTTATATAAATCAAAACTACCAGGGTGAAACACACACTCATTCACTGCACTTTATTAATGTCAATAAATATAATTTGGCTTATATGCATGAAATATGCCATATTGCCCAAAAGCCCTACTTTTCTGAAGGATTATAAAATCATTTGTTGTAAATATTAACCAACTCCTAATACAATCTGACATCTATTTATGAAATTTGCAAAAACAGTTATTAATATCCCCATAGTACTTACATAGCTAACAAATCAGAGTAGCTTGTATAACAAACTATTTTCGTTTTAACAGGCAATATGATCATATGAATGTGAATATAAGTACCCTATGGCATGAGTGAAGTTTTCTTTTGAGATTCACCATTATGTCTAGTATGTCTGTAATTTTGTTCTTCTTATTATTGATGTGTTAATGAGGCAACAGTGTTCTCTGTGTTAATTTCTTTTCTTTGTATCTGTCATCAATAGACATAATCGGGAAAGGAACAATAAAACAAGGAAATCTGTGTTAGGAAAATCAGTTTAATGACACAAAGGCAAAATAGGTACAGACTTAAAAAGTGAGATGGTGAGTCAAATAGATAAACAATGCTATTAATATACTAAGTTTTAAGCCAAGAACGCCAAATAATTTTCAGAATGAACTCTTCATTCATGTGGCAAAATGACATCTATTAGATATTGATTTCCAGTCAATCAGGGGCAAAGGTTCTTGCTATAAATGCTTGGCAGGATCTGAAAAAGAAAAACTTTTCAGTGCTTACTCAGCAAGTCCTCTTATGCATTGCTCTCAACTTTGTGATATGACTCCTTCAAATAATCCAGTCTCTCACCGCCAACGATACAATAGTAAATGTGGCTTGAATGTACTATTATTATTATTTAAAGTTTTTTATGCATCCCTTTGCAAAGAGAGTTTTTTTCTTAATCTATGTAAAGTCCTCACTGATTTATTATCTTATTGCCTTACATATAGTTAGCAGTAAGTCTTACCTCTATTATAAATGAAACAAGCTGCAGTGAGACACCTTGGTAACTTCTAAATGTGCTATAGAACATTTCAACTGAGCCTTTACTGTTGTTTCATGTAAGTTACTGAGGATGTAATATTTCCAAAAATATGTCTTTTTAAATGCTAGATATAGAGATTCCAACACAGGAATTGCTGATATTCTTTTTTCTAACAGAATACAATATGCCTCTTTATAGTTCTTGGTAAATTTGGTGTTTCTCCTTTAGCACGTGTGTAGCTATCATTTGCATGTTGTACTCTGTTCATTATTCACTATTTGTTTTCTTTATAACCATGGAGCAACTGGGTTTCTTGGTAAAGTAACTTGTCCAAGATCACATGGCTAGTAAAAGACAAAATCTAGATTCCAAACAAAATCTTTCTGACCACAAAGCCCTACTCATAACAAGAGTATGAGCCCTACTCATACTCTTCATATTCATATTTTTCATATAATGACAATTTTTCATGAAGCTTGTCAAAGATTATAGATAAACATTTTTTCAGGAGTGTATTTCAAAGTGTCCTTTATCTTTATTACCTAATATGGAAATTAAATATTCTTAACTGTGCATATTCACATCCTTATTTCTTAAATTTCTAAATATGCTATTCATTTGCTTCCACTTAATTTTGTTATAAGTACAGTTTTTTAGATTAGATTCATTCTACCCATGTACAAAAGAAAGGCTTCAAAAAGCTGACTATATGAAGAGATAGATTGGCAAATGACATTATTTTATAAAACTATTTGATATGGAATATATTGAATTACTACACATATTACTCAATTGTAGAGCTTAGGTTGTAAGAAGAATTTCATTGTTATTCTTCTTTTCTTCCCTGGAAGCTTTCAAAGTATTTTATTGATAGATCCTTTTTTCTTTAGTTTTAAATTTGTATATTTTAGTAAAAAGATGAACATTTTGGTCAGGGCGAAGATTATGTTAAAAAGTAGGTAAGGCCGGGTGCAGTGGCTCATGCCTATAATCCTTGCATTTTGGGAGACCGAGGCAGGAGGATTGCTTAAGGCTGGGAGTTCAAGACCAGCCTGAGCAAGAGTGAGACGACGTCTCTACAAAAAACAGAAAACTTAGCTGGGCATGGTGGCATGTGCCGGTGGTCCCAGCTACTCAGGAGGCTGAGGCAGGAGGATCGCTTGAATCCAGGAATTTGTGGTTGCAGTGAGCTATGATGATACCATTGCACTCTAGCCTGGGCAACAGAATAAGACCCTGTTGCTAAAAAAAAAAGAAAAAACAGGTGAAAGACTTCTGCCTATAATCATTTAGTAATAGAAAGGATATAACTTTTCCCAGATCTTTGAACTCCTAAATTTGACATTCCTTGAAACTGTGTTATTTTCTGCCTGGGACACATAGTAATGCCTGGAATAAGTATAAAATATATTTCAGTTTAAATTTCAGCAAAAATGTTATAAATTAAACTTCTCATTACTTGTATGTGCTGAGTCTGGTTTTAACAAAAACCATGAAATGTTTTATAATTAAATATCTGAAACCAAGCAAAACCTGAATTGTTTCTCTCATCTAGAAAACTTCCTACTATACTATAAACATAAAAGTTGTGATGATATAAATGCTGTATATGAAATTCAAAGTTGGCAGTTATCATTTGTTCAAATTATTTTTTCTAAGAAATAAGTTATATGAATTTATATCTGTTATATTGAAGTAAATAGGAGTTAATTACATGAAAAATTAAAAAGTGAAAGCAAGATATATGTTTAGAAATGAAAATCCTTATTGGAAAAAAAAAAGATATTTAAATTGTCATTCCCAGCAATTGTGCAGATTCCAATTAAACTAGCTCCTGTTGAATTGCATATACAGGCTTGCACTTTGTATAGCTCAGCCTTGTATACTGCATACCATTTAAAAGTAACAGTTTATGTGCTAGGTTCCCCTATGGTTTTCATAATATGCTTTCTTCATAATTTATTGTTATAAGGAATGTAGATGCTTCAGAACGTAAGAGAAGTTAGCTTATACTTTCATAAAAGGTCATTTACAACCCTAAAAAATCTCTGGAGACTTAAGAAAAAGTTGAGAAGATTTCTAGATTGAAAGAAGATAGTCAATCTTGATTTTAAAAAGTAGAAACAATATGTTTCCTGAATTAGCCTCAACAGACAGAACAGAGTTGATTATGATCATACGATAAAATAAGCCTTCTCTGAACAGCATTATAAAAAAGTCTCTTTATTCATAGAATCTTTGTTTTAATTCATATTTATTTTTTTCAGTCATACTTTTTTTCAAATATAGGTTCCAATTTAAAAGCTCAGGTTTTAGTCAAGGCAAACCTTCTGCATGTAAGGATTACATAATTTGCAAAATATAAAAATTATGCCAATATTAGGTAGTGAGTTATACTAAAAGTCATATTTTCTTCACTTTAGTAAATTATATTTATTAAATAGTTGTACTTTCGTTTGTTCTGAAGTTTTTTTTAATTCAGTAAAAATACATAAACAATGTTTGATTTACAAATACAGATGTAGGATTGACTACCATTAGCAGATTGGCAAGAAAGAATCTAATTTAGAGAAAATGAATTGAGTAGCTACTGTGTGAATGACAAATATAAATTTTCTTTGCTCAATGCTTCTGATTTACTAGAAAGAAGTGTGGTTTACTGGTATTTTGCAATTTGGTTAAGCCAAATTGGCCTGTTATTTTTAGACTGAGTATTATTTGCTTTGAGTAATATGCTGAAGTATTCAAAATGTCCAAGTTAATAGAGCACAGAAATGCATGTCCTTGACCAAAAAAGGAGAGATTTAGAGATGAATAAATGATTAATATAGATAGGTTCATCACTTCTACTGCAAACCGTCCACTTGCTCTGTTGTGAAGCAGATTCACCAAACATCTGAGTTGCAGTCCTACCACTGTTGGCTTAAGCAGTTAGAAAACCTAAGATCTCTGAGCATGTTTATTTTCAGGTAAATATGTGAAAAATGTCATTGTATGTATCTAATGACGTTAGTTTCTTCATCTGTAACATGCTGCATTTTGCGGTTGTGTTGTATCATATGGATAAAATAGTAAATGTAAAAATAATAACATTTTAAAACTTCTAGAAAAAACATAGTTTAGATATTTTATATTAAATAAGGAGTTCTTAAAACCAAAATAACAAAATCACAAACTATAAGAAAAAGATAATGAGATTGTTGACTCAAATTTAAACAGTACTCCTAACAGGTAAGGCATTGGGAGAAGGTATAAACATATATAACAAAATCTTAGTGCCCATATTATATATACAAAAATTCTACAAATCGGTAAAGAAATCAACAGCCCAATATAAATGTAGGCAAAAGATAAGAGGAGGCAACTCACAAAAAAAGAAACCCTAATGGCTAATAAACATGAGAGATCACCTCTCTCTCTGGTAATGAGAAATGCAAATTTTCATTTCATACTCAGTCTGATTGGCAAAAATGTCAGTCTGACAATGCTAAATTCTAGCAAGAATTTGAGAAATACTGCTCCTGGGAGTGTGAATTTGTACAAACACATTTGACAGCGTTTTTGCAGTATGTTGTAAATTGAAAGTGTGCATAACATATGACCCAGCAATGTGACAAAGTATTTACTGTAGAAAAACTCACGTGTCTGAACAAGAAGACACAGATAAAGCCAATTAGTGTGAGATAAGGTGAATGTAAAATGTAATTTTTAGGGTTCCCAGCTCTATAGCTTTGGATTTATATACTAAGATAAAGGCAACATCTCTGAATTCAGAATATTTCATTGTATATTGAACTAACAATAACATAATCTGTACTTTGAAGAAAATGTGTCATTGAAATCCATATTAATAGATTCCCAGCGAATGAATTAGCTATTAAAAGAAGCTGAAGTCTCTCCAAACCATTTGAATGAAATTTAATAGGCAGGTTGATTAAAATTTAATAGCAAACTTGTTGGCTATTAAAAGTGCATGATGTGATAAATCAAGATGTCAGCTCTTCAATTTATGACTTTAGAAAAAAATGATGAAAGAGCTCTTGGCTTTGAACAAAATATTTCTTCTTTGACACTTTGTAATTTCATTGTTTGAATGAAAACATTAAAAATGTAAACGTATGGTTTCTGTGGGTTTTAAAGTTATTTTACATAACTTCTAAGTGTAGATTCCATTAGTTTTTTTTTGTTTTTTTTTAATAAATGACTTGGTCTTGATTTGTAGGGTTGTTCCTATTTTGTTAATATAATGTAGCATTATGAAGTTGAACTGATTATATTTTTGCACTCTCTGTAGATTGTGTATATGTGTTGATATTGTTTTGTTACACAGAAAACCAAAAAATTGGAAACAAAATACTTAAAATAGAAAATTCCTACTTAATTAGTTCTCTATAGTTCTAGAAGCCTCTTCTGTTATCTATTTACTTTCAATTTTAGGTTTGTTTATTTTACATAAATTAACACATGAATATGAAAAAATAATATTAACAAAAATCATATGGGATTTGAATTAATGAACTCTTAGAAGGCTTCTAATAGAATTATGTTGAAACATTCTTGAGGGGATAGGATCCTTAAAAAATTTTGAAAATCACTGATTTAAATATGTTTAAGCAAAGCTACCAAAGTCATGTGAGACTTTGAATAAATTATAAATGTCTCAGCCTATGTTTCTTTATTTAGTAAACAATGGGGGTAGATTAGATGATGTTACAGTCTTATTT